CTCCAGGGTCTGAATGAACCTGCAAGATGATTAACTGAGTGGATGAATGGCTCTCTAAATTGACCAGTGTTCAGACTGTGCCTTGTGCCCTGTTACCTGTGGTTGGCTCTAGGCTCCCATGAACAGGATAAACAGTACTGGAGAATAGATTGATGGATGGAGAATGAGACAAGTGCATTGTGGGCAATATGAAAATGAGGCAAACTGCTCTTGTTTAGTTCAACACCCCAGACCCTGTTCTTGCCTTTATACTCTTACATGAGGCTGTAATTTTGCACAGATCACCAACGCCTATGACCGAGAAGCTGAGATGGCCCTCAAGCTGGTAAAAGGACACGCATATTCTATCACGGGTGCTGAGGAGGTAAGGCAGCTATCAGGACACCTGGGTAAAATCAGCATCGCCTGTGAACAGAGCTGTGGATGTAGAGTTCAAAACTTTGTCAAGAGGGTGATGTTTTCCAAAAATCACTCCAGCATTTTTTTTTAAAGTTCACATGAGCTTGGGAGTTTTATTTGCAAAGTCGGATGATTAATGTGGTGCATCAAATCTGATAGAAAAGAATATTTATGTCAAGATTTAAGATTTTAAAATTCTAAGCCTTTGTCTGTGGTGTCCAATCCAAACGTCAGGTGCACATGCAAGGCCACAGTATCCAGCTGTTGCGGCTCCGGAACCCCTGGGGGAAGGTAGAATGGACCGGCCCTTGGAGTGACAGGTGAGACCATGGATGCCGGTGTCCCAACGGGCCACATTTGTAATCAAAAGGTAGCAAGCAAATCAAAGACGGATGTTTCAACTACTAGATCGGGGGAATGGGACAAGATCGATCCGAGCGAAAAAGCCAGGCTCAGGAAAGCTGCTGAAGACGGGGAATTTTGGTGAGCTTTCATCTCAACAGAGTTTGATCTTGGGCTGGAGAGAATTGTAGAATGGTGCAATGTCATGTTGGATGTAGGTTCAGCATGGTGAGGTCACCTGGACAGTTTCCACCCAACACGTTATAACGGCAACAGAAATCGTATTTATATACAATCGTGGTCTTAATGACAGTGTTTGGCTGTGGGCTTTGTCTGCTCCTCCTCTCAGGATGGCCTACACTGACTTTATTCAGCAATTCACGGACCTAGACATATGTAACCTCACCCCAGACACTCTGACCAGTAACAAGTTGGGCTCGTGGAACTACTATGAGTTCAATGGCCAGTGGAGGGTTGGCTCCACTGCTGGGGGCTGCCTGAATAATCGAGGTAGGTGCTGATCAACCTTCTATGTGACCCTAGTCTTGTTCCATTTCCTGTCTTATGAATGGTTATACTGCAGTTTATACCTTAATCCAATTGGTTGTCACATAGTCCAGAGGGAAGCATTGATAGGGAGCAGCGATATTTGAAGCTGAAAATGGAAGCTGGTGAATACTGAGCTCTCTGCTGCCCCCTGCAGCCACCTTCGCGTCCAACCCCCAGTTTGCCATCAAGCTGGAGGAATTGGACGACGAGCCCTTTGATGGGAAGCACGGCTGCTCCTTTCTGGTCGGCCTCATGCAGAAAGACGTCCGTAAGAGTCGCAGACTCGGCCAGGATCTCAACACCATCGGCTTCTGTATATATGAGGTGCAGACTTTGCCTGGTCAAATCAAACGCACCATGAACGACAAATGTAGTTTGTGTAAGTCTGTCTAAAACAAAGATCTTTCTTCTTTTCAGGTTCCTTCAGAGGTATGTGCAAGCTCCATTGCCTCTCTGTTTGAGGGTTCCTTTCATGGCATCAGAGTCCAGGTAGCACCTTGGAGACGTTGACTGGAGCTTTCTGCTCCCCTTGCTCTTCCCGTCCCGCAGTTCCAGGGCTGCACTGATGTCCACCTGGGCCTCAAGGTGCTCCTGCAGCACCAGCCCGTGGCCAACAGCAGCACCTTCATCAATTCTCGCGAGGTCTGTGACCGCTTTCACCTTCCACCAGGCGAGTACGTCATCATCCCCTCCACCTTTGAGCCTCACAAGCGCGGCAGCTTCCTGTTGCGGGTCTTTGCTGAGAAGCAAGCGAGCACCAGGTGGGCATAAAGAGTCTTTTAAAATCCTGCCATTACGTATCATAAACACATCACATTTTAGACACCAATGACACGGGACTTTTATTATATAAATCCATCCAACTTTCAAGCGCTTATCTTGGTCAGGTTCGTGCTGGGCCTAAATATATGGATTTCATAGGAGCTTGATTTCAGTTTAAAAGTTAACATATAATGTGTAAGACTTAATCAAGATTGGGGGTCAACACCAGGGCAAATTCTGATGGACATTTTGATCAAAATGCAATTTTTACTGATAACATGGTATTTTAAAAAACGTAGCCTACATAGTTTTTTTCCCCCTCAGTCAAAACGTTTTCACATTGACACGTTCATCCTTGTGTGGACAGACTGATGATCCCTTCTTCAGATAAACAATAAGGTTTTCAAGAGCTGTGTATTTGTCCAAACAAACTGTGCTATAACTGTCATGTTCAACATGTAGACCTAACGAACTTTGGCAAGGACCAGATTGGGAAACGTTTCAGACCCTCATGATGACGTCTTCAAAATCTCTGCATCTGTTTTAGCCAATGATATTATGATTTTTTTTTGTTGCAGACCAATGGCAGCAGGTCTGAGCATGAATGTAGTCCAGGTAAGTCAAAGTATTAGTTTCTCCTGGATGTTGACACTGTAATGCTTAAAGAAAAACAAATAAATTAATATATAAACAGGGATGAACATAACTGGTACGCAAGTATGCATTCGCCTTTAAAAACGATACGTGCGACAATCGATTGTTTATAAAAGCGCAGATGCGTACTTATTTTATGTGCATTTGCGTTGCTATGACAGGAAAATAGCTTGCATTTTAAGCTGTATACCGCAAATGAAGTAGTTAGCATATAAAGATTACAATGCATTATATTTTGTTTCCATATAAGCGCAAATTCAGATATACCTCTGAAAAATGTGCTAGATCAGTGACTTTGTAGTTTGAATTAAACATATTGAGCTAGCCTATACATCGATACATATTCTATAATACACAAAGACGCCAACACTATTAAATATGCAAGTCTTCTTAAATGGTTTACAGAATAAAATTTCGAAAGATGACATGGATCCCCAGTTCAAGCAGCTCTTCAAGGAAATTTCAGGAAATGTAAGTTTTTCATCTCGCATCCTGGTAAAGAATTTGCTGTCTCTTGGTAATTGGCTCATGCAAAGTATCTCTGGTTTGATTATTATTTAGATAAAAAAAAATATTATTGTTCCTGAAAACATCTTACTAGAGCTGCTAACAAAGCCATTACATTTGGTTTCTGCGTAAACTATAATTTGTTGCCATGACAGTTGTCTAGAATGTTGACTATTAATCAATCATTCAAATCATATTTTTTAATGGTTTACAGTCTTTTTGCTGACGTAAGATTCACTGTAATCCACCCAAACAGGATTCAGAGCTGTCAGCACCTGAGCTACTGCAGGTTTTGAACCACGTCTTGTCAAAAAGTGAGTTATGAGCTATCAGAGGTTACTAGTGATGTAGCAATATGAACACAGTCCATGCCTCAATCAGTACCACACTTCTGTTTGAATTTCCTGCTCACACCCTGGATAGACCACCGTCCCAGCAGAACTTGTGACTTTTTCAGAAACAAGCATCCCGTCAGAAGGCATCACACTGGAGACCTGTCGCAGCATCGTCAATCTCCTGGATGTACCCTTTTGTTCACCTGAATTATCATCATCTGCAGAGTATGTTAACATTTGCCCAAATAAACACCGCCAAACACAGTCCTGTCTGTATTAGATAGACAGACAGACAACTTTAATAATCCTGTTCCGAACCAACTAGAAAAAAATTAGAACATTTGCTAGTCAGCTGAAAACAGGAATCATGCACCTGTTTGTACTGAAATAAAAGCTGCATTTATCCACATTGATTTAGTTCCATGCATGTGGTACAACCTTGACCTTCTATAACCAGAAAGATGGAAATGGGAAGCTGAGCCTAACCGAGTTCCATGTTCTCTGGATGAAGATCCAGCAGTATCAGGTCTGGTATCATGGATGGAGCGATGTCCCTCACCACAGTTCTGCACTCAAAGCACCCTGGCTGAGCTCTCATATCTCCTCACCGTCACACTTGTCATGTGTTGATCCTCCAGAAAATCTTCCGGAGCGCTGATGCTGACAACTCTGGTGCCATGAACAGCCACGAGATGAGAGAGGCTCTCTCCCAAGCAGGTACAATGAGCCAGACCGTGAAGCCCATCAGCTCATCTTTAGTGCATTCACAGTAATACCAGATATTTAGAGAGACAATACTGTCAGACAGCACCACATGGTCCACATGGTTACCAAAGAATAAGAGTGAACAAATGCCTGCAGCACACAAAAGATATAATCTTTCTTTGTATAAAATGTTAAGGCAGCTAAACTACATCAACTTCCTTTGAAATTTTCAGTTCATTCTCAACAAAAGTACTTTTGATATATTGCAATTATTATTGCATTGCTGATTCATCTTTGGTACATGCTTTAAGGTATGTTTGCTTGGCATGCAGGAATCTCTCTTGGATTCACTGTGACCGTGGTGTGTGGCGCTGTAGTGAAAATGCAGGATTTAATGTGCTCGGGTTTTGCAGGTTTCCAGGTGAACAACGCGGTGCTTCAGGTCATTGTGAGCCGTTATGCCAATTCAGAGTCTTCAGTCGACTTTGACAGCTTCCTGAGTGCCTTGATTCGAGTCGAGATGCTCTTCAGTGAGTTTTTGTCACTTTTTAGGTGCAATGGTTTTTTTTTTTTTTTTTAACAAATACAATAATGATTTAACGACACCTAGTTAATGTCCACATGTAAAGATTCGGTTTGCATTTCACCCCATTCAGGAATGTTCGAAAAGCTTGACATGAATAAATCTGGGAAAATTGAGCTGGACATGTCACAGGTGAGTTTAATTTTGCTGCCCTTCGCATATATGAGTTGTAATAAGTGACCGCAAAATTACAATTCAAATTTCGTGTTCCCTTCTATTTGCAGTGGTTTTGTGTGGCTATGAATTAAACTCCAGATCAGAGGAAGGTGTCAAATCTGCAACTGCCAGGAGATGCAACTGGGAAAATGATGCAAGTTGAGAGTTCAAAGTTTGAGAACAGATAAGATACAACGAAAGTCAGGTTATAATTTTTTTTTTAAAAGTAGTTCGTTCATGTTTAGCCTACTGTATTGGAAATGGGGTTTTTCTTTCACAAAATGACTTATTATTCTAGTTTTATGTGTAGGACGGTTGCTTTTACTGTACTGTTTATCACGTCAGTAGGGTGTTTGGCATATATCCTATGGCTTTTATTTTGCTTTTCCTTGTCATAACAGGTGATCTTTATAACAGTTAAGCCACTGTTTTGTACAGCTTAACTGATCCTATATGTGGTCTATTAAAGAAAATAAGCTGACGTATATCGTGTGCTGCATGTGGAATGGCTGATCTTAATAATAAAAGGACATTTAAAATGTTGCGGCTCATGTTCTTAATAATAAAATATCATCTGCAACTGGAACAATACATGACAGCCATGGTTAGGTGTGTGCTCCGTATATGCACAGTGCCGGTCTCCCCCTTTAACACAAACATAAGCACATTTTCTTGAAGGACACTTAACACGGGTGGTTGCATCTTGCGTTCACTGAACCTTTTTTACAAGGGCGTTACGTTAAATGCTCACTCGCCTTTGGTGCTGCTTACCTGTGCGCTGTCACCGGCGTCCAAAAAAAATGCCACGTTTCACAATTATGGATCGCGCCTTGTTGTGACAGCGATCGTACAAAAAGGTCGGAACCGACACTGCGGCATCAGGGCCGACACCCAACATGCCCGGGGGACAATTTGGAAATGAGCTGGCTCTTCGGCGTTCAGGTCTGGAAACAGGTGTTGAAACTGAGAAATTTTATTATTTTATAAGAAATATATTCTCTATTTGATTTTGATGCCAACAACATCTTTGAAAAACGTTGGGACAGGGGCATATTTCCCACGGTGTTACATCACCTTTTAACAGCACGGTGTAAACGCTTGTGAACTGAGGACACCGATTTTCTGCTGTTTGCTTACGATGTTTTCAATGAAGCCTAACAGCCGCAGAAAGTAAAAAACAGAGATGCATCCAAAACTGATTATTACATAACTAGGCAAGATTAATTTAATACGTGTGATGTCTGATGGACCGTTTAAAGGAAGTTTGTGTGCCGCACATGTGCCACCCTGTCAAGAAGGTTGCGTTAGAGATAGGAACTGTAGTAATACATTATGCCACTAGGGGGACGTACAAAACCATAGCTAAATCGGCACGACGTTGACATTGAAAAACAACCTACGTACATCACTCTTCCTGAGTTATCAAAATTAATGAGAACTGGTAGTTGATTTGTATTATTTTACAAAAGTAAAAAATTGATATTACGATAGAGGAACCAAGTAACTTTATGTTTTAAATCTTTTTTGGCAACTTTGAAACTGTGTTTATCTAATCTTAAGAGAATAATGTCTGGTAATTAATTTACATATCAATCATATTAAACTGTTTTGAGCCATGCAGTGTGTTTTGGGGTTTTCAAAGTGTTCAGGAGCGCAGTTCCTTGGAAGAACCCTCTGCTTTCTTCATCTGAGTAATGAAGTTCCTCAGGATCAGTTCCTGTCTTGCCCTTGTCTGTCCTGTCAGTTCCCTGCTTTCCCCTGATGACCTGCACATGTTGCTAATCTTATCAAGTGTCCCTACTCTAGCTCATTTCTTGGTATTCTCCCAATGTCAACGTCCTGTGTTACAGTTCCCTGTTTGGCCAGTGGGTGTCACTGGTCATCCCATTTGGCTCCTTGTGTTCCTTTAGGTGTATCCCCAGTCACAGACCCCACAGTTCTCCCTGTTCCTGGGCCACCGTGTATCTGAGTGGGCTGAGGTTGTAGCTGATAACCATTTAACCCAGAATATCTGGAGCTGAACAACATTGGACTTCTGTTTATTTTTGCCCCTGGTTTTTATTACCCTTATGTGTAAATCATGTTCTTTGTGTTTGTGCACTCTGGTTAAGTCCTTGCCCTTAATGTCTTTGTTCTTGCTTAACCTCATCAGTGCTTTAGCTGAATATTTACCACTGTGCCTAGTTTGTATCTGCATCCTGTGTTCTTTGTATCTCCTGGTCTTATTCCCTAGTTTTTTGGATAACTATTAATGGTCCACACCTGTCCCTTGTCTCGGACTCATTATTTTTTTGTGTGTGTGTGTGCATTAGGTTTATATGTCATTGTGGGGGACATTGTGGGGGACAT